CACGGGCTGCTAATTATGGGCTTGGGCAAGACTCGACTTGCATTTCGCTTTAAGCGAATGATAGAGCAATCACAAATATCTATTTATAGTTTACTCACCGTACAACTAGAGTAGTATTATTACTCTTGCCATACGCGGTAATCTGCCTATCTGAAAAACTGTTATTCATTTGTCGATGCTATCTATTTCAGTGCAGTCTATTAGAGTGTGTAGTGGCATCGGATCATAACCACACAATCCTCAAAGCTCAACACGAGACTACTGGGAAAATAGATATTCAATGTTTAACGCGGAGGAATACTCAACAATGGAGAAGGCGGGAATAAGGAATTGAATTAGTCCGAGTTGATCGGATGGCATGGCCCGGCCTTGCAGGCGTGGTCCCAGCTGGATCTTATCTTATAACCTTTGTTCATAATAAATATATTCTATCTCTAGCCTAAGCTTGTCGTCTATCACGTATTGGTAATTGTTATAATGCAATGAGTTGTTGCAGACGATGATGTGATTTCCACGTAAGATCTTATAGATTGGGCAGTTACATCATGATAAATCTACAATTTTAGGATTAGGTCTATTATTAGGGCAGTGCTAATATCATAGGAGACCACAATTCTACAAGTGTTTTGGTGTTGGTTCCCAACCACATAGTCTTTGAATCTGAACAAACAACCACTGAGACAATTTACATTCAGCATGTAAGACACAGAGAAGGTCAAAAATAGTGAGCGCGGGAACACAGGACCAGAGTAACATAGCGCGGCTATATGAGCGTGGTCACTGTGTAATTTATTCCCTTTCATGTCAAGTATGTTATTCCGTCCTCAGCTCAAACGTGTTCCTTAGAGGTGCTGAGCGTCATATTGCTGATTGTCACTACAGGACGTCAGCATAGATAATGGAATGACTAACATGTGAGACCTTATAGTTTAGGTGGTCACATCATAGAAAATCTACAACCCGTATTTAACTTATAAGCATATCGAAAAATTTAAAACTACTAGACAAACTATTTTCATTTAGACCATCTTTTAGGCTGTCAATTCCCGAAGTATTTTTACGGATCTATCGGTAACCTCCGATAACGATTGTCGATACCGATTCGAACAGCTGTTGGATCCGGTACTGAATTATAGGAGGTCCAATAAGATTTCTCCAATCACTAGGTAAGCTAACCATCTGGGTGAAATGACTCTATGTTGGACGACAGACCACTAACCGCTGGACAGTTTGCAGAAAATTGTCAAAATCAGAGATGACTAACACAAGTTATTCATTTTTATGAAAGGGGCAGTCATATGCGACAGAGTTCTCTCCCTGTACTCCCGCAAAATATTAATAACACCATCTGGTGTTGACAACCGAGAGTATTCATTCCATCCGGTCGCTTGTGAATTCGATGAACCACTTTATTACTATAGGATAATCCAAGTTACGTGTTAACTACGTGCTGGGACAACAGTGGGATCTAGAAAGCAAAAATATCCCCACATAACTTGAGTAAACCCTTACCATTCACACTGTTCACTTGCACTGGTGATGTAAACCAAGTTCCGAATCGTTACTTTGATTTTGGGTAGGCTGCCTAACAACCTTTTTTCTGGATGGTGTATTGATAACTGTGGTAGTGAGTGGCTCTATATTTAAAAAACTATGAAGTAGTTCTATAATGATGGTGACATCGTTAGTTTCAATGGACAAAGCTAATAGAACCAAAGCAGTTAAATCCCTGTGGAGACCACGCAAGATTCTTATTATCCTTTGAATAGGCCCCTTGGAGGTCTCACGCCAACCCTTTTCGGGAAACTTTCAGAAATGTTCTTTCTCTCAACATCAACTATTTTCTTGTTCGTCTTCTAATTTCTTGTTGACGGTGAACTGATAGTGGAATATCCTTATTCGGTCATCCTAAAGAAGCCTTTGAAACCATCAGTAGCTTGAATGTGTTTCATATACGTATTTGAGGTGTGATGATCTACATTGTTTAGTTCACTGTTAATATCACTCACGTTTCTATACAAATTCTCTTAAATACGTTTACCACAAGCGGAGTCTGTATGAGTAGTGTAACAATGAATCAGGAGCTCTTGCGTCTGATCCGCCAATTATTATTCTACTTTATCGTTATCTACGTAAATCTGAGCCATTACACCAGAGAGCTACGTTCTACAGTGTAGTGATAAATAAATCCTGAACTTAAGTACATCTGTGAGTCTCTGACATTGAAGCTAAGTTTGCTAATTTTACTAGTCATATGGCTATCTGGAAGAGCTCAGTCAAGCATCCACACCATATCACATTTCCATATCTTTCATTACGCGTTTTCGACGATTCGAATCACTGTGTTAAGTGGACACGTAACTCAAACCTACATGCAGATCGCGTCATTTTATTTTTTCTAGTAGTGAGCTGTAACTAGGTTTAAAATGATAAATTACGATTCATTTTTATGTCACCCCTGAGGGTTTAGTGGCGACATTGTAACTGTCTTGTGAAATTGTGGAATAGAAACTTGATTCATTTGAATAGTTTTTGTGTTTTATTCGTTTTGTCGGATAACCTGTCGGAGAAAATTCAGTCGTCCTGCATAATATTGTTACAACATTCATGCCCTCTTTTTTTGAAAGATATTTTTGGTGGCTTTACCTCAGTCTATGCAATTTAATAACATCATTTGGATGAACTGAGGGATTGAACTTATTTTTCATGGTTTATGATCAAAACCTATATCTGGCCTCCAGAAATCCTCTGATAAAATCGTTTCAGCCTCAATTTATGGTCAATGTATTTAGTATTTGCAGCTGTCAACGAGAATGGACTTGGGAAACGCTATATTGTGTTGAGTAATCCGAACTGACTTGAATATCATTTTTTCACTGTTCCGCTAAAAGTATCTTGGCTTGTCATATATCGTTCTGCTGAACTCTTCTCTTTAGAACTACTTTGTCCCTACTCTAAGTCTCATGTCCAGTTTGTCACTACGGTGTTCGATCCATTGTAGTGTTGAAAATGTGGAACACAATTCATTCGTTTAAACACTCCCGATTTTAATCCTAAATTTTAACAACATCATTGCTTAGTACAAGAAATTACAATAAAGCTTTTCAACCGCCTTCAAGTTACCGACCGGTGGCTCTTCTCTCTATACTTTCAAAAATCATGGAGTCCCTGATAAGCGATGGTATACGTGACTATTTACTGTCCTTAGGTTTCTTCTTACTAAACAGTATGGTTTCAGGAAGGGTTACTCCTGTATGACGAACCTGCTGACTGCGGTGGACAGATGGACAAGCATCCTTGATCGCAAGGAGAAGGTTGATATCATTTACCTTGATTTCTCAAAAGCTTTTGATAGGGTCAATCATATATGTCTTATCAATAAGCTCAAATGATTGGCTATCAGACCATCTCTAATTGATTGGCTCATTTCATATATGCAAAATCGACATTATAAAGTCAGGATTAACTTCACTTTACCTCAGGCTATGGAATGTCCAAGTGGGGTCCCCCAGGGGTCAGTACTAGAACCTCTTCTCTTCTTGATTTATAAAAATGATCTCCCTCAACAGGTAACGTCAGAATTGCTTTCTGCTGATGATATGAAACTTTTGAGAGAGACAGGTGCTTCAGAAGGATCTGACTTGACCTCAAAATTGGGCAGATGATAACGGACTTACTTTTAACACTTCAAAGTGTAAAGTAGTCCATCTGCAACATGTCGCAGACTGCAGTTACGACTTGGGAAACTCCTCTCTAATAGTATCCCGAGTCGAGAAAGTTTTAGGAGCCCTGGTTTCCGACGATTTAAAATCTCACGCCAACTGTGACAGAAATGCCTTTCGAGCAAACCTTGCACTGGTGCATTGGCGCATTTTTGGTCAGTTTGACGGGAGAACTTTCCACATAATCTTCAATAGTTTCATTCGTCTCCATTAAGATCACGAAAACATAGTATTCCCTCCCACACTCCAAAAGAATAAGGACACTCTAGAGCATATCCAACGGCGAGCCACGAAATCAGTTCGGGGACTCAAATTTAAACCTGATGAAGAGAGCCTCCAATCACTCGACCTTTACCCATTAGAGTATAGGCGTTTTAGAAGTGACCTTCTGACGGCCTACAGTATCCCTAACAAGTCTGTACATTCTCTTAAACACCTACTAAGCTTAGTCCTAATACAAACCTAAGGGGTAACACCTAGAAATTGGAGAGACAACATAGTAGAACGGACTGCAGACACAAGTTCTACTCCTTAAGAGTTGTCAAATGCTGGAATTCGCTGCCAGCTGAGCTAGTTCAAGCAACTTCTCAGGAGTTCTTTAAGAGGCGACTTGATCTATTCTTAAGGACTATGGATAGTATCTTACTATGATTTACCAATCTCTTTCTCTTTTATCGTTAATATACCTAGGTTCCTACCTAGATGTATTGGTGATCCCCTGCTACTAAACACAGAGGTCTGTTAAACGAAGGCTTCTTCCATTCCGTCCACAACCATCTGAACCATTTGAATCACAAGAGCATTTCAAGGCATAGTCGTCGATGAACGATCAGGCGTTGCTGTCCGATCACGCCTATTCATTAACTGATACAACTTTTAAACTTATAAAAATTCAACCATGATAAAAACTATACGCAAATGCGTAAACTGTCTTAATATCAAGATATAAATCTCTTGGAGAAAGCTTGAAGTTTGAATACTTAACGGACATGAACTTAACTACGACCTTAAACTAACTTCAACATTTCAAGTTTGATGTTGAACCATATGACTGTATTTAGAGATGTTTCAAGTTGAAGAGCTGTGTTCATTGGGAATATTTGTCTTGTCACTACTGGTACTTTTCTTATATTTTCATCAAATTTGCTTCTTTCTGATATCACTATACACAGCGTAAGGTCATTTTTCACACTCTGCATCTGTAGTCGATGTTTATTTTATCCGAAAAGATCTGTCGTATTAACTGATACCCCAGGAGTGTCAGTTGTCAAACCCCTTATGGGAGTAGACGATTTTCTGTGCGAAAATTTGAAGAGCCACTTCACTTTGGACTATCCTCGAGTAAGCTTTTGACCGTTTTTTGTATTTCGCTTGATATATGCTCATGAAACATCTTTTTTTTGTGCTGAAATTTATTCATCGTATGATAAGCACTCAGACAAGATGTCTAGGTCGTAGTTAAGTGTACAGAATTATACATGGTCGTTCATGTGCTTTTTCGACTCATTTTCATTATAACAAAGACTCAGGCAATGTTTACCTGAAATTAAGCATCCTGAAGTCCAAAGCTGATGAAAACCGAAATGTAATGGAACAAAATGTGTCTAAGTTCATCTTATCTCTGTAATCGTCTTCTTCATCATTGTCTCCTCATAACTTTCTAAAATAAGATGTTTTGAAACATCTTACATGTAAATATACATGTGTGTATCTACTGAAAATAGATCTCTTGTATAACACTAGATTATTTCAAACTAATGCTTACTTGATCAGCTACTGCATTATCTGATTTGGAAACCATGGACTAAATAATTTTTAATCTGATTGAACTAACATTATTTTTAGTAGTTTTGATTCATAGCACTTAGCAAGTACAGGCTCATAACGTTGAGTCACTGGTTTTGTTTTGGGGTTAGGGATATTATACAGTCAACTAGATTGAAACGACTGAAGAAGGGTAGCGACCTGCGACGTGGTGATAAAGTTTAAGATTTCATAGAGAAATCTTTAAAAGTTTCCAAATATATGTTGATATTGAATCTAATAATCACGTCTCACCAGAAATTTACGTATTTTATTAATTTATGCTAGTGGTTTATTTAACTTGACTGCTGGATGCGGAAAAAGTGGTGCAGTTTTTACTGACGTACATTATATTTTATAGGAAGTGGTTTCAAGCAAATGTGCTTTTGATATCAATCAGCCAGCCATACACAACATATACCTGACGCATGTATACATCGGTTAAAGATGCCATACCATAGTAGCACAGCGAAATAGTTACTTGTTTTTAAACTGACTAAACTTGTGATGTGCAAGGTAGCGCAAATTATAAGGATTTTGGCCAGTCAATGTTTTCGACAAAAGGTTCTCAATGCGCTTTAAGCAGGTTAGAAGTGATCCTTTCATTTACACCATTTAGTATGACAACTTGTCATGACTTTTTGACTCAGTTTGTTTTCGTTTATCAGTAGTGATGTCATTTTGATCAGCGTAGATAATATAAAATCTGCAAAGCTAATATATAATTCTGTGATGATAGACATACGCTCTTGAAGTGGAGCAAACCGAACAACCACGTATTTGTGCACGATTACACGTTGAAATGACCGACCAGAGATTTGTGCTGATGTAACACTTTGATAAATCGCTTAAGATATTGCGGCCGCCTTTGTATCTGTATGTTCACGAAATGAAAGTTAGTGAGATAACGATTATTTAGTGATAGTATTTTTGGTTGAGATTTTTGTTTAACCAACTCAAGATGCTTAATAATCTTTCAAATGGGTCTGTTTAGGAGCATTTGAGCTCAATATACTAGTGAATCGTGCTTTAAAATTTGAAGCAATTGTCACTGGGTTCGAGTTTTAGTGTGTATATCGGCACTGAGTTGTTGGACATTCTCGTATAGGACGAACCACAGACATTTCATTTGACGGTCACACATTCATCAAGTATCATAAAACCTGTAGCTAAACAGTGATTTCAAGGCACTTTGCACATTTCAGTTTCAAATTGTGAGTAGTATTTATGTGTTTGAAGAAATAATAGGTTTTCTAAGGGGGAATTTCAGACAAATAAACATCAAACAAATAGTATTTATAATTTATAGTATAGTTTCATTAATGTCCAAAAACGTTTTACCTAATGACATCACTCTTTTCAAATCGTCGTTCAATTCTGTTGTATTGTATTTGGATTGTTTTTAGCAAAATATTCTGACTTGAAAAACATATTGTCTTGCTTTCCGAAAAAAACGTACATAAACGTATTTCTGATGTTTCAAAGTGTCCTAGATTTGTATATGACGATTTTCTGGAAAAGAAAAATTTTAAATGTGCCCTTTCGAAATGCTTATTTTTAACTGTAACAAAAACCATCAGTTTCTGTACCCTCATTTCGATTATTGTGAAACTTATTGGATATGTAAAATTTGAAACTTGGAAAAGTTACATCGTTCTGTTAGTGATATATATATTATATATAAGTTGGCAAACTAATAATATTTTTGTACAACTGTGACTCCCATATTCTCAGTAACTTGTTAGCCTTAATTTTGAGAAACGACTTTCCATCTAATCAAAGTTTCAGGGGCAATTTAAGATGATAAATTCAAACACGATATACTATCATAATGAACGTACTGTACACTTAAAAAACACGGGTTTAGTAATTCTTTACATTTTGATGCTTAGAGAACAAACCACTAGTATTGTTTATACGTAATATTGGAACACGCGTAATTTTCACTAAAGCAGACTTTCATACTAGTCATTTTGTTCTGGCTAATTAATTACAACCAGCGGTTATTAATGTAGAAGTATCGCTTGCGAATATCTGTTAAATGCAACACAAATGTAATTTTACTACTCAAGTTTGTCAGTTTACAGAAAATTAAGGTAACTTAAAAGCTCTTTCATCCATATATACTTTTCGTTTAATGTAGTTTGTTGATTTACCAAGTAAGTAACTGATGTTTTAAGTTCCCTCTTCAAATATCTGGGTGAACTATCAACAACTTAGTTCCACAAGATTAGACTATTACCTAAGTTTTGTTTTTGTTCAGGTTACTAATCATATATTCAGCTCTTATGTAGATAATAAACAACAGTTTTCTCAAAAAAATATTCACACTAGAAGTGTTTAAAATTTTAACTTCTGCAACATTCAATAGAACAAAGAGCTCGTTTGTTCTAATTTAACCCTTCAATGTAGTCATAGCAAAAGCAACCAACCATAAGTTTCATAATGAAGACTTATGATGCAATGACATTGTATGATTATTTCAGCTACTGGCGTTAATTTATTATCATGATTTACTCAAATTTTACGTAGGTTTTGGTTTTGGGGGAATTATATTTATGTTTCGTTGAAGGTGTAAGCATATCAGATATAAGTGATCTCTCTGTACTGTTGGATACTTGCATCGAATTCGTGACATTAGGAGATTCCTATTTAAGTGTAATCCGTTATTAATTTTAAAGTACTTTGATAGTTAATCCACTTAAGTCTTATAAATTAATCTATTGATCTTTATCCTGCTTTATACCATGATAGAATTCCTTACATAGAAAACATTAATTTTTGATGAATTAAACATAGCCAACAAGAAAATCATACATTTTCTTGTATAGGTGTACGAAATGTTTTTAATACTGAAACTTTAAGTAAAATTATTGGATTCTAAGTTATGAATCGAAATCTTATATATAGCAAATTTTATACTGTACTCATAAATAAAATATATCTACCGCGAGTGTGCTATGAAAACAATTCACTAGTGGATTTGATTTCCACTATTCACCAAATTAAAAATTTATCTAAACACTTTACTAATTATTTTACCGGGAGTGGAATAATTTAGAATAGCATGACAATAGTTCTCATTATTTATTTATTTATTTGAACACATAGATATCGGTACAGGGAGGCACCAAATACGTATACTCCACACAAATCTCAATTGATTTATGTGAGGGCTATGATACTGAACGGGTGTCCAAATTGAAGCACGTGGTTTTCTTAGAAGGCCACGCCCGGAGCCTTCGACTTAAAGGTCTAATCCACAAGGCAGTGGAGCAACGTCAGAAGATGCCGCCCAATGGTAGCCGGTAACCAAAGATTGGTTCATACTCTATTCGTTCCCTCAGGATACTGGAGCCCATGTGCACCATTGGTTTGAAATGAGGGTTTTTCAACTCCCCTAGGTGAACCCTTTACGTCCACCAACCCGATTAAAGCGCCGAACATTCACTTTTCGTCCTCTCAATTTTGTAAACAACATAGTAAAAGTTTTTTAAAAAAAATTATACAAACTTAATGGTACCGGTTATTTTCCTTTTGAAGTTGTATCACCTAAACATTAAGTAAACAATGTGATCGTATTTTACTTGATCAGTACTGCTTGTGGTGAAATTAGTAGACATTTTATAAAAACTGATATCAGTTGTTACTTGTTATTATTTTATTACGATCTTTAGTAAATTTATTATGAAATATCTATGAGTTTATTCCCACGAACGAAACAAATGAATTTTAATTTCGTTTAATAAATTACACTGTGTTTTTTCTCATCTCATATACGTAAACGCCCCTGAAATGTGACTGCTTTTAAACAAAATATATTAAACTGTTTATTACTTAATGGTGAGTCACCAGTACTACTGCCCATTAGAATCAGTCTATTTTATCTTACGAATAAGTTTGTTCCTTTTTAATGATAGAATTAAAAAAAGGGAAATATGCATATATGCGTATAAAAAAATGGGTAGATAACAATACTATGATGGTGTAGCAATAAATGTCATGTGATGTTAAAGAAGAATTACATGCAGATACTTATCACTGTAGAGTTGCTCTGGTTATTGGGTTATTGGCGTTATAATTAGTTTATTTTAATGAGTTCAACATTTTACTATGGAACAAATTGATAATTAGTGCTTTATGTTTGTTGTTTTAGGTTATTATACATTTTCTGTCAATTTTATGCATTAAAAATAAATGGTTGATGTTATTTTTGTCTTAAAACGTTTTTTGCTTATTGTATTTCGCTGCACATTGTTACTGCGCAGCAGTTCGTTCCGTCCTACTTTATGGCAGTGAAACATGGCCGATAAGAGTAGAGGATATTCGTAGGTTACTAGTATTTGATCATAGATGTCTTCGAAACATTGCTCGTATATCCTGGGACCAACAAGTAAGTAACTCAGTTGTTAACAACCGTGTACTAGGTAAGGATGGCAAATCAATTGATGAAGTAGTGAAACTCAATCATTTGAGATGGCTGGGACATGTGTTGCGCATGCCCGACCACCGAATGCCCCGACGTGCTATGTTTTATG